TTTTACATCTTATCTGTCTATCTGAGTACAATGTGTAATTTAAAATACAGGTAAAAAGCTAGTGAAAATTAATGCAGAAACTTTGAGGCCTCGTTTAAGGCCTGCCGCCTTAACCCCGACCCAAAGCTCGAGGAGAGCCGGGTCTTGTGCGGGACAATGGTGGGGTCGAGTGAGGTGAGTTTGAGGCTTTGCTCGATCTATTGGCCGCCTTGGCTAATTTGCAGGGTGAAGAATAGATCGTACAGATCAGCTTTGTTTACCCTCCGTGAGAACGGTTCATCAGAAATGCTTCAGCCTTAAATACTATCCACTTTCTGATCGGAGGATATATTGGCATGGCCGAATGATACGAGGACGTCGGGGGAAGTTGGAAGTCTCGCCGGTGGAGGCGAGGTTAAGCCTCGGCGTTGTGGAGAGCGTGTGGCTGGTCGAGCAGGGAGCAGCGGCCGCGATGAAGCCTGGAGCTCGGCGGCGGTGTCTGGCGGAGAACGAGCAATCCTGGGGCCGGCAGTTTGCCCGGAGAATTGAACAATCCCCAGTATAGGTCTCGTCGTTTAGATGGGAGAAGCTGAGTCTGCGATATAATGGCAAAAGGTGCAAACCGAATGCTGATAAACCGTCAATGGATAGAGGTAAGTCAGCTGTATTTATGTCATGGTGTTGATTAACTTGAGTGCGCTCCACCTGTGTTAATTAGGCTAAGTATCTGACGCGCTCCTCCCGAACCTTGTTAATAAAACATAATTTTAAAATATATTCAAATAGAAAGCAGTTATTTTAAAGGGGTCATCGGATGCTCATTTTCCACAAGCTGATATGATTCTTTAGGGTCCTAATGAAAACTCTATAACATACTTTGGTTAAAATTTCTCAATGGTAGTGTAAAACCCTTTTTACCTTGTCAAAAACTGCTCTGTTCACAGTGACCTGTTTTGGTGCATGTCCCTTTAAATGCTAATGAACTCTGCTCACCCCACCCCTCTCTTCTGTGGGGTGACCAGCCGTTCTCATGAGACTGTAAACTTTAGCCGCATTTAGCCGCGGAACCTGCTAATTAGCACATTATTAGGAAAGGTGATTTGCAAAGATTCATAAAAAACCTTATACTCACTTCTTCTGTAGGTGAAGCTGGATCACGAACAGTGTTGGGTGTAATTAGTTAGTAATTAGTTACTGTAATTTAATTATGTTTCCCTTGAAAAAGTAAAGTAAGGGATTACTTTTATTTTTTCTGTAATTTAATTACAGTTACTTCTTATGTAATTGAACTTAATACTGTGTATAGACTGTAGATCATACATATACAATACAATCGTGGATTTAACATAACAATTTAAAGTTTATCCTTAAAATGCATGCTTTTATGTACCCTTCTCACTTTTAATACTTTGGTGAGTTAATAAGAATATTGGTAACACTTTAGTGTCCAATTCTCACTATTAACTAGTTGGTTATTAGCATGGATATTACTGGGATATTGGTTGTTTATTATTACTTAAAAAGCACATATTAATGTCTTATTCTGCAAGACCTTTTTCTAAATCCTTAATCCTACGCAAATCTTAAACTTAACAACTAGTTTACTAAGTATTAATAAGCAGCAATTAGGAGTATATTGAGGCAAAAGTCAAGTTAAGTTAATAGTAAAGTTAGTTAATAGTGAGAATTGGACTCTAATCTAAAGTGTGACCAGAATAATTAATGAGAGTCAATCTGAAAATGGAATGACAATCCCTGTGTCATTCCATTTTATTACACATAACTTAATTTCTGAACGTATTTGTTTTTTAAATTTTATTTGTATGTATGGATTACTTGGGTTGTTACCGACATCTGGTGAAGATTTCAACAGCACCTTTAGAAATATATTTACTGGGAAAAATGGTGATGTGTTCAATACTTATTTTACCCGCTGTATATATATTCTATTTATTTTATATACCTTTAAGTAAATTTGTGCTTTTTAGTGTTATTCATGTTCATTTTACAGTATGTTTGACTAATTGTTATAAAATTCTGTTTAAAACTATCCAAATAAAGCCAGGTTTTGTCTTCTGTGGCAGACAGCAACAGTTGTAAAGTTGATCAGTAAAGTTGTTACGGTGAAGCTTTGTGGAGGTTTTGTTGTTCATGGCACTGTAGAAGAAAACTGGATGACACTGACAAACACAATTTAGTGTTTTATACAGTATGATCTCTGAAATCTGATATACTGTATTTATATAGCTTAGCTTAAATGGTTACTTGAAGTCAGTTCAGATCTTACATGTTATTTTGTGACTTGGGTTTTTAAACAGACCCACTAGACCAGGGGTGGGCAAACTTGGCCCTTCCAGGCCACTTTCCTTCAGAGGGTGCGTTCCAAACGGGATATATCGCCCTCCGAAGGGCACTTCGGAGAAGAAAACTGGATGACACTGACAAACACAATTTAGTGTTTTATACAGTATGATCTCTGAAATCTGATATACTGTATTTATATAGCTTAGCTTAAATGGTTACTTGAAGTCAGTTCAGATCTTACATGTTATTTTGTGACTTGGGTTTTTAAACAGACCCACTAGACCAGGGGTGGGCAAACTTGGCCCTTCCAGGCCACTTTCCTTCAGAGTTTAGCTCCAGCCCTAATCAAACACACCTGAACCAGCTAATCATTGTCTTCAAGACTACTAGAAGGCTACAGGCAGGTGAGTTTTATCAGGGTTGGATCAAATCTCTGCAGGAAAGTGGCCAGGAAGGGCCAAGTTTGCCCATCACTTCACTAGACCCTCTAGAATTTTTCACATTTTATGATTGTGTGGAAAAATCTGCAGAAATCTGAAGAATTGATTGAAGTATGGTCAAATGTGTTGAAACAACACTTTGAGAAGCTTTAAGTCTCTTATTTGAATAATAAGTTCTTTCAGTACTGTTCGCAAAATATGTTATATAGTGATCTGTGCGTCTGCACCCTTTCTGCTTTCAGTGGGTCTCCACTGCATGAGACAAATGACTGTGATGTAATTTAGCAGCGCTAAGGCGTCTTGAAGGTCTGCCGTGCAGCAGAATTGGAGGTTGTTGGGGATTCAGTGCTAAGGCCTGGCTTTCTGAAATGGAGAGAAACTGGTAGCACAAACAGAGTCATAGCCACTAGTGCACAGAGGAGTTGCTAGGTAACAGGTAGCATACAGTTATGTAATGCGCCACGCTCCCAGTTTACATGTTTTATGGTATTCCTCTGGAGAACTGGAGCTATCTCAGGCACATCGAAGTTTCCCTTAGCACATCCACTCAGACCCAGCAGATCCGTGTTCTCTGAACTCTTCATGCACTCTCAGTCATCAGTCCGAAAAATCAAGGAGGTGGAAGCACGCAGTTCCTTAATTCTGGTGTTCTTGGTGAGGTTATGCATGTAATACTGTGTCTTGTAGCATATGCAAAGAGTTTTCCTGTTCATATTTTATGTTGTACCAATCTGAGATGCTGGGCTGCTGATCTTTTTACTGGAAGATTCATTAAAATGACACATTAAAAAACGCTGTTCATTGCACAGAGACTTGTTGTTATTTATACATGATTTTTATTCATTTGTGCCAATTGTCATCGGTTTCTTGGACAATTCAGCCCAAATGCCCAAATGTAGTTCAAATTCACAGGTCCTCAGTGAATTTGAGAGACCTTCTAGTGTTTTTTGTTTTTTACCTCTATTAAGGGATAATATACAATTAGCTGTCATTATCACAGTATAAACGTATACATATAAAATTTTAAATAAATGCTGTTTTTTTTTTTCAATATCAAAAAATCCTGAATAAAAATGTATCACGGTTTCAATAAAAATGTTAAGCATTTTTAACATTGATAATGAAAAATATTTCTTGAGCACCAAATCGGCATATTAGAATGACTTCTGGAATGAAGAATGAAGACTGGAGTAATGATGCTGAAAAGCTTTGCCATCACAGGAATAAATTACATTTTAAAATATATTAAATTAGAAATATATTTACACACTATCTTTTGTTTTCTTTTCTTTTCTTTTTTTCTTTTTTGGTGATTAAGATAAACTCTGACTGGCTCATATTTCATCCACAAGTGTAGTAAATTAGATTCTTGGTGTAGCATTGTAGTTAACATGCATTTTTATTCTGTCTGTTTTACAGTATTATTTCACAGTCATCTTCAACCATGAGAATCAGAAGGCTCTGGAGCTTCGTACAGAAGATGTTAAGGACTGCGATGAATGGGTGGCAGCAATATCACATGCCAGGTAAGTAAACAATTCAGTGAAATTTGAAAAGATCACATATACTGTTGTCTACTTCAGTGGACAGGAAGGAAAAGGGATTAAATTGCCATGTTTGTTGCTACTGTAGCCTGTTTTGGTTATGCATATGCTCTGTTTTTTGCAAAAATATACATTTTTGTGCATTTACACCAAATTCCTGTAAGTTCAGTCCTTATTCCTATGTTTTTTTCCCCCACTAAGGATGACTTGATTTAGACAAGGACTTGCCTGTAGAGAAAAGAAGACTGTCTTCTCATAATGGCAGGATTCTCTGCTTAAGTTTATGCTCCATTCACACAGCTTAAATGTGAAGGGGGAAAATAAATAAAGAGGAGGATATTTCGCGAAGTGGACAGATTCCATGTCTCATTATCTATAATTAGCCTGAAGCTTGTTTAAGCAGTCTTGGATGTTGCAGAAGTTCTGTTGGGAATATTGTTTATTTTTAGTAATGAACTTCGAATTTGAATTCTCTGTTGGGAACTAACAAACAAAGCACAACATGTTGTGCCTTTAATAACAAAGAGCCGTAATGCAGTCAAGGACAAATGTGCATTTTGATATGTTTTCATTCTGTTCACGTTCATGTGAGAGTTAAGGCATGAAGGGTTAACCTTGTTTATATACAATATACGGTTTCAGAAATATATCCAATTGTTTTATAAGGTGAAAGAATTGTGCATTTTTGCACAGAAAGTAAAAATGAAACATAATCAGATTAAATAATGTTTTTTACTTGTTGGTTTATTACTGTGATTAGTAGTTTAAAAGTTTTTTTTTTTTTTTTATCTTTTTGCCTTGTTGTATGAATTGACACGACCATGTCAGGATTTTCTTTGAACCAAGACTTTCTGAGTTCTGAGAATCATAGTGGAAGCAAATAATAGCATATTGCATTAGCATAATAGGATGTAATTTCGATTGTCAATTTAGTTTGTAAACATTAAAGGGGTCATATGATGCGATTAAAATTTTTCCTTTCTCTTTGGAGTGTTACAAGCTCTTGGTGCATAAAGAAGATCTGTAAAGTTGCAAAAACTAAAGTCTCAAATCCAAAGAGATATTCTTTATAAAAGTTAAGAGTCAAC